AAAGCATGTAGTTCACAGCTCGTCTTTCACACAAACTCAGCGCATTTATTATGAAAATGTGTGGTCTGGTCCGTAATAAACCAGAGAGGGCTTGGATCATTTGTACACAGGTGTCCTGTGACACACTGATCTCATTATTAGTCTTATCACTCTTAGATCAATCCGCTATGTAAACGATTTCTCTGCATGCAAATTTATTTCTATGTATAAATTTCTATAGTTATAGCTTTATGGCTTTGTAAATATTTTGTTACTGTAGCTCCGAATACTGTGTGATGTTTGGTAAACATTTTCGAGACGAAAACAGCAGCGGATTGATATTAATACAAAAATAATGTATGTCGTCATTTGTACTGCCAGTTTGGCATCATAATGTTTCAAAATACCACCATTGCTACTTTTTAATTTCTAAATATTTTTCTTATCTATTAGCCTGAAAATTTTTGCTGTATTTTTTTAAACTCACATTTAGATAAGGCCAGCTTGTTTTAAAAGTAACAAAATTATTTATGATGCAATAAATTTTTTTTATTATTTGAACCAACACTAATGTCCAGAAAGTGTAGCAAAAATCTGGCTATTACCGGACGCGGCAGGCAAAAGTATAAAAGACACAAACGTGTTTTCGTGGCCCACAGACATTCAGCGAATTTTCAGAGCGGATTGTATCGATGTGCGCTAGTTTTTTTCTTCTTCATTGGGCCATAAAGCCGCAAAAATTACGTCACTAAAAGAAAGCGAAGCTCAGTCTGAGGCTTCTGTGGAGGTAATATATCAATATCTGTTTGCTAAGAAATGTTAAATTCTGAAAATTGTAGTTTAAATGAAAATCGTTGACCAGCAGCACTGAGTGAGTCATGGCGGACGGCGCCTAACCGTCAGTTTACCAACTGCCGGTATTTGACGAAACACCAGTCAGCGTTCCATAGTCTTCAACTACGTTTTGTTTTTATTGATTTAATAGAGATGTGCATTCTGTATTAGCAGCGAAAAATCAGCCTCAATAAAAGTAAATTCAACCCCTTATAAGTTAAATCAGCGCAAAACCGGGTTCAGAGCAAAATAAAAACCAAGAGAACTGAACCACGGGACGAAATGGTGCTGACTGAAAGGACATTTTGAATTGTTAAATTGCCTCACACCATATCTGTCATCCCAAGTCGACCCTTCACCCTGTTTTACATTGATACTCGGTAATTTTCTGGGAAGTAAATTAGTTTAGACCAAGACAGGGTGTTATAAACTGATTGTGATGTTTACTACATTCAAAAATGTATGTCTAGTAGTACTAGTAGTACAGTACTGGCCGATGCCGATGTGTCACAGAATGTGTGGAAAGGTGTTTAAAAACTTTGTCATCTATGGGGGCAAAGCAGTGCCAACTTTAAAAAAAATAGTTTGAAAGCTGATTATCTACTGATATGTTATAAATGTAATTGACTTGTTTTCTGCATGGTTTGAGAGTTCTTTAGATAAAGACATTTGCTAATTTGATGGCACAAATGTCCTTGTTTATATATTTAGGGTAATTTTTAATTGCCAGTGATACTTGAGACAAATAAAGGAAACATAACCTCATCATATTAGTGACATATCTGACATTGGGTTAAGTTACCAGTTTTGTCCTCTGCCTAGTAGCCTTGAGTTCAGCCTCAAAAGTTCGCCTTCAAGTGCCTCTGGGCTTGCCTTTTTCTCTCTGTCCTTGTGTCCATTGCGTTCTCCAATGTTTACTGAGCAGATCAGCGTATGATTGTTGAATATAAAATGTTACTTTACCATATATAATTACATACATTATATATATTTGTGTCTTAATAAATTTATTTCTGTTGTTTATACAGGGCAGTAGCTCGACTGTCTTCTTCCAACAAGGTCCTGAACCAGGTTTTGAGATAAGAAGGTTATTCAACTTCAACGCAGAACCGCCGTGGGATCCGAGCTAGTATCTGCTAAAGCAGGTGTTTCTCTGGCCAGGTACTTTTTTTTTTTTTTTTTTGACAGTTGTTGATTAAAATGTCGGCTCTACTTGCAGATTTGGCCGGCAAGCTGGACGGCGTCGGTCGGCTTAGTGGGAGTTAGGAGCCAAATTAAACAAGTCACTGCAAAAGTCACGAATAAAAACATCAAATAGGGCTAGAGAGCTATCACACATAGCCACAACGTTCTTGTGTGTAAGACTTAGTTGCCCCGTACGTAATTTTCTGATCTATATGCATTGTCTGATAAGTATGCGTGGTTGCGGTGGCTAGCTGAGCATAGCGGTGGCTAGCTGAGCATAGTCTTATAAGGAATATGCAACTGCAGCTCGTGCAACCGACCATATTTTTTAAATTTGAGAAGGAGCACTCTTCAGTGACTATCGAGTGTCCTTGATTTCCATGCTGCAAATAGTTTTACGCTAACATTAACCCTACTCCATCTGCTAGGCACAGATCATTTTGGAATTATCTGTCAGCAAAAGGAGGGGACATCTAGTTTGCTTTTGGTTGGATGTGACTAGGGATGAAATAGTTTAGAATTTTGTGAGCCAGAGAACTATTAGTGCCACCTACTGGAACAAAAAGTAATTTCCGAAGTAATTAATGTGAAGACTTCACTTTTTACTAAATCTTTTAGATAAAAGGGATAACTAACGAACGAAGAATTTAGTGCGATTTTTCGGCCGTCAGCCTTTTTCTTTTGATTTGTTTGCGGCTACATCATTTAAACTTATCTCCGTCTGTAACCTGCTCGAGCAAGATTGTGGGCTACTGCTGTTTCAAATGTGTGCCGACACTCTGACAGCAGGCAGACATTTTACAGCTCAAAGTTTCATTGTGTGCTTTGCGGTTGGGAATATGGAGAATGCAGAGTAAGCTGTCTTCACCTACCTCCTTTGGCATAGCAAGGTCAGTTGGTATCCTGTGTAGAGCATATGCACACCCCCACCCTCTTTATTTACATTGACACATTAAATTGTTTATTAAAAAAATTGCCATTGCTCTAACACAGTGATGACCGCAGACCGCCCACTCACAACAATGACACCTGGGGTGACCACTCCCTCCCACACAGTGATGACACCAGTGGTGTTTGCATATCTCCACACCCCCCCCCCCCCCCCCCACCAGAGTGGTGCCTGCACCTGCTACTTTCTTCCAGACTCTCCTTTTTAAAAATCTTTTCTTCCCCCGTCTCAGTGCCGACTTTTTCTTTTGTCCTCTTTCCCTCTCCTCCTGTCTCTCTGTCCTCTACTCCCCCTCCCCCGCCAAAAAAAAAAACCTCACCTCTCTGAAATAGGAGCCCACTGGTGGTACATGGCCTGTTTGCATAGTGTGTTAACAACAGGGCAAACAAAACAGGTATGGTTATATCTGAGAATCAGGTCAGGCCAGACATTTTTTCAGGAATTACCTTGGCTCCCAGGTCCACCCAGCCTTGAGTGTGAGAGATGGCACTACAGCAGCCACACGCTGACAGCCAAGCATAGGACGTGAGTGCAGGGGACATCACCGCTGTGCTGTTTCTTGACCTTGGTCACATTCCCACTGGGAAAATAACATCTAGATTTCCAAGATTTGTTTTTGGCGCTTATGTTCCACCATCCCCCACCCATCATCACGTCTTCCTTTTTTTTTTCTCACCTCCCACTCTTTCCTTTGATATTTCACTCTGGTCTCTTTTTTCTCCTTACTCTTCCTTTCCTTATTCTATTCTTTTATTCCCCCCTCCCCCCCCCCCCAATCTCTTCTGTCCTCTACATCCTCCTTTCTTTTCTGTATATTTTCCCCTTTGTTTATTATATTTGCCATAACTGTCTTTTGCTAGTTGTTGTGTCCAGTACACAAGAAATTCTGTTAGAGCTGGAGGATTGGGTGGGGTTTCAGCATGAGGCTCGTGGTTCTCCCCCCCCCCCCCCCACCCCCTATGAAGTTTTGTTAAATATGTTGGAAATTATGGTGTACGTTTACTGTCTTTCCTACCTGCCCCTTCCCTCTTTATCTGTTTGTCACTGCTTTCTCCCCAAACTCTCTTTCTTGCCTTATATCAGTTTGTATACCTCCCTCATATTTTTTTTCTTTCTTTGGTTCTCTCCTTCTGTATGTTCGCAACTGTGTACTGTCTCTCCCTCCTTTATGTCTACATCACTGTCTGCATGCATCTCCCTCCTTTCTGTTTCCAACACTCTAACTCATGTAATTTTTCCCCCTTCTTCATTATCTTTTTTTTTCCTTTTACCTCCTCTCTTCGTCTGTATTTTCTGCATGTCCCACTTATTGTCTCTTTTTTTCGCTCCCCTTCCCTCATCATGTCTCCATCCTTCCCTCTCTCTGTCATTTTTTCCCTCCTTTCCTGTCTCATTCACTTTTTCCTCTGTCCTTATCTGTTCATCTCTGACTGCCTGTCTCTCTTTCCCAACCCTGTCTTCCTTTCTGTCTTTCAGTCTCTACCTCAGCTTCTGTTTTCCTCCCTCTCTGTATGACTGTCTCTTCACCCTCCCCGCTTCAGGTGCCAGATATAGAACAGACAGGACTTCAGTTTGCTCCCCTCTACCAAGTCTAGAAAAAATGTAAAACACTAAATGTGTGCGCACAAAGTACTGTTTGCTCAGTACACCATTGAAAAAGGCAAAAATACCTTTTCTGAGTATTACTTGAAAGGGGCCTTGAAATTAATTGATAAATTTGGCTTCAAACCCTGAAACAGTGACATTAGGGCTCATGTAGAATATGTCACAATGTAGAATTTAGCCCTTAGACTGAGGCACATTTGGACAGGTCTTACAAGGTCTGACATGGAATTCAGACCTAACGTGGATCTGGTCAAACCAGTCTAATTTGAACACAAATATGCTGTGCTGATCACCTCGCTTATGGTCAGGTTTAAAGCTCGTAATGTTTTATTAAATTGCCAGTCGATCTGCATTTTAAATTCTGAAAAAATTTTCTTTTTCTCTTCAGATTGTTTGTACAACTTGGACTTGCTTCAATTGCCTAGGATATCGAGTTTGACCGTTCATCATGAAACACAACTATTCGACCATTTCTGTCGTTCAGAAAATTGCATCGCCCATGCCCTGCATGTCGCAGCTGGTACAGGACAAGATCGACGAATTTGAGAGCAGAGTGAGAAACTTTTATGGCTTTTAAACCACCGTTTTTTTTAATTTAATATGTCGCATATCAGTACAGTACTTATAAAATTATACGATTTTAACAGGGATGTAACTAGTTAATACATTTGCTGCTTTTAACATTTTCCTGACCAGCAATCTGGGTCATTACGGTCTTCTACTTCCAAGGGTGTTTAGAGATAATTTTTTTTTCAAAACAGCTTGTTTTTTTTTAAAAAAATTCAAAAATGAGCTTAGAGCTCTAAATCTAAAACCTTGAGAGCAAGCACCCTTAGGAATGGTTGCTACACACGCAAAAAGATGTTAATATGTTACATGATCAAGTCGGAGTGCATCTGCCTGACAGGCAAGGAACCAACAGTCTTATTCTGCCCTCAAGAATTCCCTTTTCATGTCTTGGCTATAAATAACACCACTGAATTAAACAATAGATATCAGGTGAACTCTATTAGTGTCATGACAGGTAACAGCCAACATATTTTATATTTTGTCACACAAAACAGGACAATCTATCCTTTTTAGTTTCAATTGGTTTTTTCTTAAAACCAATCTGCGCACACTCAACTGTGTCTGACATGACACCTTGTTGTTCTTTGTGTAGGGGAAGATTGTCAAGCTTTTTTGAGCAACCTTTCTGCATTTACAAACAACATTTCAGCTGTAGAAATGTTGTGTTCTCTTGTGCCTCAACTCCGTCAAGTTTGTAATCTTTGTCGCTACTTTAAGATATGACGATTACATTGTCAGGTGAATCTTTACTTATTCAGGTATTTTTGTGTTTTTATCGCTAAATTCGCTGGCAGATTCCGAATAATTAACAAAAAATTATAAACATTTCACTGAAAATGGCTCTAAGCGGTATCGATGTGGGTGCAGCCATTTTGGAATAATAAAAACACCTGGGTCAGTTCAATAATAAATAAAAAAATTGGTAGGGGAGTCGGTCGGCAGACTACATGTCACAAATTTGACGATCGTCGAAGTTAGTTACCTGGGTATAGACAGTAAATTCGAGGATTATTGAAGTTGGTCAGCAAAGTGTTTAAGTAAACATTTAGTTGGTTAGTTAAACTACCAATCATTCTCAGTGATCCTCTAGCCCATAATCACTTAGGGACCATCTTCAGTGTCTCACTTAACGCGAGATGACGCGGCAGCACCAGTTCTATATTGATTTACTATTATTCTTTAGGCTATTGTTCAAATTTGGGCAACACCTCTTTTGATATCTAGTTTTTGTAGTCTTGTCACTGTTGATTCACTTTCTCCTGAATCATCTTCTCCTGTCTCAGTTGTTAAAACATTAGCTCAGTCAGTTGCTTTCGTGTGCAAGTTATCAAGATAGTGAACATGTCAACTGTAGGAACAAGGATAATATCGGATGGTATATTACATATACATCAAATAAATTAACAGTTAGGAAAGAATTAGTGCATTCATTTCTAAATGTGCAGTCTTAGATCTTAAAAGGCAAAATAAAATAATAAATCTGTTTTATTGAACATTACATAAGACAGCAGAAACTTCAAATCTTCACCAGAATAATAAATCTAAATGCTCTAAATAACATACATTTTTCTCCGCAAATGTTATAGAAAAACAGATCAACTTAAAAAAATTCTGTTACTTGAGATTCTTGACTACCTCTAGTCCTAGTTATAGGAAGTTGACAGCAAACAATCTAAGGCATGGTTGAAAGCAAGATATGGAGCATATTTGTCCCTGTCAGTGCACAGGATTTTGAATTAAGTGGTGGTGAACCAGTTCAAACATAGTCCATAAGATTAGGGAATTCTATTTATTTGTAATATATTGTTTTCAGAGGGGAAATAAGTTTTACAGCATTTTGCCATTGTTGTTTGATAACTTTAGCTTAAAATATCTTACAGGGCTCCGAGGATGCTTTCTGTGTGGGAGATATTGGTGATGTCATTACCAAATTTAACAAGTGGAAGGAGCTGATGCCACGTGTGGAGCCTTTTTATGGTGAGTTTTCAAAGACTGCATATCTTAAGACATTATGTATATTGGATTGTTCTAATTACTATGTTACAATTTAAGGTGCTATATTATGTCTTTGTGAGATCTACTTTGGTTGTGAAACACTAGGTTAGATTATAATATTTGTGAGGCCACTGTTAACTGGAACACATCATCATTAAGTGCCCCTTGTCATCTGGCATGTGTGATCATGGATCTCCACATTCTGTGATTAGCAACTGCGTGTATCAAGTTCAGATGTTGACACTCTCCACACCATGGCAAAAGGCCGTCAAGAATCTCTTTCCACAGAATCCTTCCAGTGGTCACATGATCCTGTTTTCTTCTCACGAGATGACCAAATGATGAATGTTTTGTGAGTCTTTAAACCCTCACCTCTTTCAAAACATCTGGGTTGCTCATTTTGGCTGTCCAGTGAATTCTAAAAATTCTTGTGTAAAACCATGTCTTGGGTCTCAAGAAATTGTTTAAGCTTGTTTATTAATTTTCCAGCTTTCACAGCCATATTTTAAAACTGGCTTCATTTAGTATGAATTCTTTTCCGTACCTCCATTGATATTGATTTGTTGCTCAATGCATTTTCATTAAAAATTCTGTCTTGTTCTGTTCATTATAGCTGTTGTCAGATGTTATCCACATGTCTAGATACTTCATCGGCGTTCTGGTACCATTTCTAAAATAGCACCATTCATTTTTTTTTTCGATTTGGGTACCAGCATTTCTTCTGTTTCTCATTATTCAGACATCTTCTTCAATCTTTCTGTCAGAAAACTTATCAGGAGGCCGGTAGCCTTTCTGAAAGCAATCATGCAGTCCATATCCTCTTGTATACCATACAGCTGTCTTCATTGTGGTTGGAACAGGCCAGATTGCGTCTCTGTTGTCAGCATACAGTTGGAGCATATGCTCAGTATTTTCGGATGCCACGCTGCAGGGACAAATCTGATTCCTAAACTAAAAAATGTGAACATATGTTGACGAAATCTGTTGTGCCCAGTCCTTAGTCTGAATATAATAGACTGTTCCTTTCTAGAGAGGCGATGAAGTGAGTCTTAGGGAGAAAATCTGGTGTATGTATCCAGCCACCTTTCTTGGATACCAGATTGTATTGTTTTCGTTCTCTTGGTGGGTTAAAGTGCTATTTGGTTGTACCATGTCACTGCTGCTTCTGAATAACCTAATTGAATCAGCTGTTGCGTCAAGTCTACACACCGAGTGTCTTTTGGGTTACAATTGCTTGTAGAACTGACATAGCATCAGTCAGAAGGCCACTCTGCTATATTTGCTGTGCTGTTGTCCATTCATGAAAGAACATGCTGCCAGAAGTGCTTCTGCCTTAGCTCTGTAATTGGAGGAATATGAACCTGTTGGTACAGCTTGGTTGATTATTTTTTTACCACTATATCTATCAAACAATGAAATACACAAATAACTTGTTGCTATCAAGACTTATGTCCTTAGCATACCATATGTCAATCATGGCCACCAACATGTCATATTCAGGCAGAGAAAAAATAATGTCCATTTCCTCCCATACTCGAATCATGTCTTGTGTAACGAAATTAAAGGTTTCTTTGATCCGTTCTTGCAGCTATGAGATCTTGACGTAGTGTTGGGACTTAGCAACAGTATAGCAGGGCTAGGTTGTCTTTTTGAGACCAAGATCGACTATGAAACAAATTAGGTCAAGATTACGGTCTCTTTAGGGCCAATGTTTGCTATAGAACACTAGGCTAAGTATATGGACTGTTGTTTAAGTGGGTTTTACCAGTGCTTGGAAACACATGATTTAAAAAATTTATTTTACCTTAAAATTAATTAAAATTTTTTAAAACATATTTATATTGTTTTCTTGTCCATAATTTCAGCTGTGAAGTGTAACTCTGACAATGTTGTCCTGAAGACATTGGCAGATATGGGAGCTGGATTTGATTGTGCTAGCAAGGTTTGTACACAATTTTTTTAAAGTGGTTTTTAATGCTTCTTCAGCTGGACAGATTTATTTTGCATGGAATTCTCTATCCTAATGGAGATACTGGGAACATATATCCAGAATAGCTTCATTGACACAAATCTTCACAAATGTAAAATGAAAATTTCGATAATTAATAGCTACACTTTAAGGGAAAATTTGAGTGAAGCACAGCGGGTGGAGCTTGATTTGCAATCAGAGGGTTATGGACTGTACAAGCAGAACAAGAAACTTATTTAGTTTCAAAGTCACTGTTTGTAGAGACAAATTGACTGATTTGTTTTAGAAAGCATATCCCCCGCAGAAGTCGGATGTGTTGGCCGAAAGGTGCAAATATCGCAGCCATGCTATAGACGGTTACCGGCTGTAGACTCCATCAGAAAGCCTTGGCTATTTGTCCAGTCTCATGACTCAGCTGTGTAAAGCACATAGGTCAACACTGGACATATGAATGTACTATCATGAAAGATACAAACTCAGCAAGGGACTTATTACTGACAACACAGTTCAAATATATTATTTGGGCACACCTTATAGGTGGCGACAGAAGTTGGGTGGGAAAGATGGGTACAGGGAGAGACCAAGAGAGTTGATGCCTGACAGTTTAGCATATGCGTCAAATGATTGATTTGGCATGACTGTCATTACCATGTGATGGTAACGTGAATTGGGAGTAAAGATCAGCACAGCCAAGCATGAGAAGCACAAAGTCGTTAACCAACATAGGACTGGTACTATTAATGGCACGACGCTGATGAATATGTTGAGAGTGGAATCTGAGCGCCTATGGATGTATCCGGAGTGCTGTGAAGATAATCTAACTCATAACTCAACCATGTGATGTGTATTTCAGGTAGCCAAGCTACACATTTACAACTTGTTTTTATTAAATTTCTTCTTTGCTTACACTGGCAGTAAACTTTGCTGGAAAGTATTAGCTGTTTTTGCCTGCTTCTGGACTTAGTCTTCCACAATTAAGATTTGCATGCACATCTGTTTACAAATCTGGCTAATATGTATATGTGTGCACGGGGTTGGTTCTTTGCATCTCAGGCAAAGGAAACACTCCTTTTTAGTCGACTTGAATGACATGCTTGTTGTGTAGTGAGTATTCTCTGTTCTTCACCCCTGGCCTTGAAACCCACTTAGGGAGAATGTTTCTAATACCCATCAGTAATGACACATTACACTGAACAGATACATTACAGAAGTCTCTGTGGCTCGGCTCCTTTTATTTGACAAAGTATCAAGAACCCGCAAATTCTGTTCAGTATCTAGATACCTATCTATAACGCAAGCTCACACATTCTTGTGAGCACTTAACAATATCCCTGGTTCCTAGTATGTACCAGTTTGAAAGGTCATAACACCATTCACTGAAAGTCTTTGTAACACTTGTTTAGAGATCTTTCTAATGATTGATCTATACAGGGTGAAATTTCCCAAGTGATGAAGCTTGGTGTGGATGCATCTCGCATCATCTATGCCAACCCTTGCAAGCAGAAGTCCTTTGTGAAGTACGCCGCCAAGTATGGTGTTGACATGATGACCTTTGACAATGAGGCGGAGCTTGTGAAAGTCAAGGATATTTTCCCAGATGCAAAGTGAGTATCCTTTCCCCCCCATCATGGTGACACAGCACCATAATTTTTTTGTTTCCAGGATATCCGCATGAGACCCTGTAATGTTTACCTACTAATGCTTGGTATGCACTGCCACATTTATCCATTTTGAACCTTCCACACTACCAGGCACACAAAAACATGTATCGATGGGAGTCTTTGTCGACATGAAATGAACTACACGGCGGTAATAGAGAGATCTGTTATAATTACCAATTATTCTGAAAATTTTCGACTAGATCTTTCACCAAGTGGTTGACTGGAATGGATCGTCACATTTGTCTTCATCCTGGATGTATCTGACTACTTTTGTTCATCTTTATTCTCTCACCTGTATATGACCCTTGGTCACTTAAATTTTTCCTTGAGTGGTTTGTCTTAATTTGGTCAGAAGATTTTACTTTTTTTTCTTCAAAATATTTGGTTTTCACTCCTTTTTAGCTTTAGGAATTTGTTTTAAAAAAGGTTAAGATATGATTTTTGTTCTGCATTGTTGCCATGTTTAATAGTTGTGTGATCATAATGTATTTTCTTAACGCTTTTGGTATTGTGACAATGTAATAAACATTTACGAAAAAGCCTTAAGAGGTTGGCTGTGAGAGCATATCACGTACACAGCATTTGAATAGCTGGTTTCCATTTTTCACAAAACAAACCATGCAGACTTATGTCTTTCTGAATAATTTAATCAGTTCCTAAAAGTAAGTAATGAGGATAAGAGATACCTGGGGATCGTGGCTGGGGCTATGGAGTTCGTGTTCCGCATGGCACTCTCGGCAGGTGGCTTACCATTCTGAGGGAGAGAGACCGAGCCATATGGGATAAAACCTGATGCAAAGAAGTTGATCCTCTCGACTTGAACGTTTTAACTTTAGTGGTTAAACTTTATCAGCGTATGGTCAGAACAAGAAATGTTAAGAGTAATATATATATGTCTGGCCATAGCTAGTAGAATTCTGAATTCAATAAAAGTATGATGTTAATATTTTAATAAGTAAAACATAAAAGTAGCTTATGCTGTATTTCCAGACTGGTGTTGCGAATTCTGCCAGTTGCTCAAGTGAAGGTACAGTGCCAGCTTGGAAACAAGTTTGGCTGTCACCCCAGCAATGTCCGCAGGCTGCTCCTGAAAGCCAAAGAGCTGGATGTCAATGTGATGGGTGTCAGGTAGGAGGACATTACAGACCATTTATCTCCTTTAACCCTAAACATGCATCTTTGTCTTTTGTCCTATCTGCTGGAATATTTGGTTTTATTTTTGTTCAGTTTTCATCCTGTCAATGCAGTCTTCGTATGCATGTTTGGGGGCACTTTTTGGTCACACCTGTTTCTTGAGCTAGCTTGCACCTTTCTGCTGTTGCAGTTTGCATTTCTTTAGGTTTGGCATATAATTTTAGTTTGCATTTTTGCTTCTAGGTTTGATTAGTGAAGTGTAGTGGACAATTTTTTTTTAAATATTGCATTTTGAATTTAGATAATATATTCCGAATGTCTCAAATTAATAGACTGCCATTGTGTTTGGTAAGGATATCATGGTGTTTGTGCTTTCTAGCTTCTGTAATGTGTGTTATGTTTGACTGCTCTTCTTCACAACTCCAAGCTCTTTATGTTAATGGTTGCCAGATATCACCGCCTCCATTTATCTCCCTGGTTGGTCTTCTCTTTCCACTAGCTGATACCAAGTGTTTATAGGTCTGTCTAGATATTATCTTTCCATCTTCTTCTTGGCCTGGCTCGTGGTGTACCATTCAGCTCTTTTGTGTAGTTTTTACCTCTCTCATTTGACATTCTCTTAATATGCCCAGCCATTTCCGTCTATTAGCGCTCATGATGTCGGCAATCAGTGGTGAATTAGATTATGAATTATTGCTTCTCTCTCCTTTCAGTCCCTGCTGTTTGCACCTATGATGGGTCCAAAGATTGTAATCGGGCTTCATCTCTGCTGTTAGTTGTGCTTCAAGTTTCAGAGCCATAAATACTACTGGTCTTTAAAAGTTTTATGTATTTTGATCTTGATGTTAGGCCTTTAGCAGATGTTGAAGGGCATAGTATACTTATTTCCAGATTGTATTCTGAATTATATTTCTTCTCTCAGCATGATTGGAGCACGTACAGTTTGCACCCACATGATTGTTTCCATTTGATTTTCATACCGACTTGTATGTGGCTGGAGTTAATATCATTTTCCTGTCTTATCATGTATTCTATCTTATACTGATTAAAAACTAATCCTATTTTGTGAGCTGCTTCTTCTAAGAGTCAGTGTTTTTAGTCTCTAATATATTCTCTCCAACAATGTCACATTTGCGTGATCACGTATTGCAGTAGTTTATCCTGAATTACTTAAATTTTCTCAATCCGTAAGTTGAAAAGAAGAGGGCAGAGCATCACCTTGCTTAAAACTAGATATTTGTAGAGGGTCTGACTCCTTTATATGTTACTATATTATGTCTTCCATACATCAGTTTTGAATATTTTTTAAAGCATAAAGGTGAATGTATATGAATTCTTAATTTAAGATGTCAGTAACTGGCAAATAAATTGTTGCTTGCATATTTTTGCATAAGGATATTTGTTTTGTATGTTTAGTGAACTAACCATATCCTGTTGTATTGCAGTTTCCATGTTGGCAGCGGGGTCGGTGAGGCTCAAGCATTTGCCTATGCTGTGAAGCAGGCTCATGAAGCCTGGGAGATTGCTACAGAACTCGGATTCAAGATGACCCTTCTGGACATTGGTGGTGGCTTTCCTGGACAGGCTAATGCCCCAATCACTTTTACTGAGGTTCGCTTTCCGTGTGTTATAGATCATATTTCGGGAGGGGTAGCTTGATGTGCATTTTTATACTTTACTTTTTATTGTATGTAGCTGTAGTGTGACTACACTTTCACGTCAGGTTTTTAAACCAACCCTAAATGGGTACCGGCTAAATTTCTGGGAAGTGAAGATTGGGGCAGGCCTGATGTTGACATCACCCAATGGGTACCTGCTTATTGGTCTATAAAATATATAGTTCTATTCCTGTATGTCTTGAGGCATAATAAAAGTTCCTCTATTTTTACGGTAGTCGAAGATGAACCTTCAATGACATCAAGAAATTTACAGTACTAAGTTATCATGCACAAGGTTGGCAGGTTTAATGCGCGAGTGCTTCCATCAAATACACCTCCACAACATAAACGGGTCAAGGGTTGTTATATGGGCACATGTATATTTTGGCTTTCAACTCTACCAGGCCTGAAGTCCTGAACCTAACTGGGCTCCTAGGCGTTAAAGCGAAAAACCATGATATACAAAAATATTAGTTACATGCAAACAAGTAAAATAAGATCACGTTTGAGGACATTGTATAAAATAGGTTTACCTTTCATCTTATGAAATTCATATCTGTATTTGGTGATTTTGAACAGCTTTAAAAGACTATGATTAAGCACCAGCAAGGAGATAAAAATTAAGAATTTTGAGAGCATGCATCTTCCCTGTGGCTACATACAGATTTGAGCCATGGACTATCTCTGTCCTTAAGAAAGAGAATAGAGGCTTTTGAGCTGAAATGCTATAGAAAGATTCTCAGAATATCTTGGACAAAGAAGAGGAGAAATACTGATGATCTGAACATCAAGCAAGATTGGCTGGCTAATAAACAGCATCCTGTCTCGGAGGCTGAAATATTTTGGTCATATCAAGCGCCACGATGGATTGGAAACACTTTATACAGAAAGAAGGGTTAGGGGCCGGCCAACACGAATTGGGCACAGGGCATAAGTGACTTCTTGAGTATGAAAGTACGTGAGACGAGAGACAGAGTTTCTTTAAGGCAGACTGTGATGAGAGCGAGGTTCTGCAAAGGACCTGCTACATGATGGATGGGTGGATTTGGGGATTCAAAATTCCTTCATGGCCATCTGAATCTCCCCCATCAGCTTACACTTCTCAGTACATACTCTGAGAAATTTGCGGTATTTTTAAAGTGCGACGATTGTTTGATTGCTATGATTGATTTTTTTCTTAAATTTTTCAGATTGCAACTGTAGTGAACGAAGCACTTGACGTTTATTTCCCTTCGGGAAGTGGTGTGCGCATCATTGGTGAGCCAGGGAGGTACATGGTTGCATCTGCTTTCACTCTAGCTGTCAATATCATTGCCAAGAGGACGGTGGTCAAGGAAGTGGCTGGCACTGACAGCGGCGTCAACACTAGTGAACCCTCACACATGTACTACGTCAATGATGGTGTTTATGGGTCGTTCAACTGCATTATTTATGATCATGCTCACCCAGAACCTCGGGTTATCTCGGTAAGTCTTCATGTCTTAGATCTGGTGCTAGATGTTCTGGTCCGTAGTCCTGTACATGTGGTGTAACTTTCCATGAGTGTAGGATTTTTGCAACAACTCCACACAGGAGCATGCACAGCAGGGGTCCAGCGTTGATCAGTAGAAAGATCCCTTTCCAGACATCTAGAAAGGTGGGGCCGACCTTTTTCGTGACTCCAGGCCACGATCTTCCCCTGGTGCACTTTCTCAGACAGTGACAAGATGATATGGTGACTCTGCAAAAGATATTGCTAGATTTGTTGTTACATTTGTCACTGCGGTAGCAAATTAGCCGCCTACAATCACGACCAGAGTGACAAGCTTACTGTTGGTTTATCGGACAGGTGTCAGACTTTGGCATTTGGCAGAGAGACACTGGCCGACATTTATCGGATGCTTTAGCTTTATAGGGGTGAAAAGTTCCTTTTCACTGGATTCTCGGACCAGTCTGTCGAGTCCTATCCCCCACGATGTTCCATTGTGTCCAAAGCCAGCTCAAAGCCCTTTCAGCTGCTCCGCCTAATTATTTTTGTGACTGTTTACGCTCTCTTCCTTGCAAGCCCAGCTGCTTCAGCACATTAAATGTGGAAGTGGAGATAAGTCCTCTAGCGTCTACCTCGGCAGCGAAGATTTTTACTGATCTGCCCAGCCTTGAGGAAGCGCATGAGGACAGTAGTGTTGGCTGTCACAATAATGGCATTTAAACCTTATTTAGTGGCGCGGTGATTTATGTCACAGGCGTGAGGGGAAGTTAAGTCCAACATGATGTGTATAAGGAGATACTCCGTACGTCACTCGGGCGCCAGTCCTTTAATATCCTGGTTGTATGGAACCTCACGCAAGACCCCGGCAGCACGTCCTCGTCGTGCGCCACGGATAATGTCTCAAATGAGCATTAACAGAGCTGCCAGGGGATCTCTGAGTTTGGCGGCCCCCAGAGGTGATGTGTCCTTGTGGCTCTCATCAGCCCGCCCCCAAACGCTTGGGTGAAAAAATTGTTATCAAAAATCATTAGGAACATGAGTAGGTCTGCCAAACGTACAGCCAAAATTACAACCCTTGGTTAAAAGACTGCGGAATAAAGAGAACATTGTTCACTGTACATCCTCGGTTAACCCTCAGTGTCGTCGTCACCGCGCTGGGGTACACCACAACAGAAACCATCCATAGGCTGGCCATTCATGTACATCCTCGGTTAACCCTCAGTGTCGTCGTCACCGCGCTGGGGTACACCACAACAGCAACCATCCATAGGCTGGCCATTCATGTACATCCTTGGTTAACCCTCAGTGTCGTCGTCACCGCGCTGGGGTACACCACAACAGCAACCATCCATAAGCTGGCCATTCATGTCCTTGGTAAACCCTCAGTGTCGTTGTCACCACGCTGTGGTACACCACAACAGCAACCATCCATCGATCGGATGGCTAAGCCTAAATTTCGGACAAAACTAGATCATACGGATCAAAATCTGACCTCAAAATTTGAATTGAACTGAAAAAGACCGAATGCCCACACCCAAAGACACCACTCGCCCGAGTGTTGGGACAAAACTGATAACGATATGCTTGATGCAGGATGTAAAATCTGTCGGGCTAACGGCTCGTCAAAGAAATCTAACGTGCGAAGAAAAAAGAATGTACCTATCTGTGTGGTTACAAAAGTCCAAAACCCGCAGGCTGCTCCCCGCTGACCCCCAGAGGGCGCAGCCCCTGTCGAGCGGGAGGCCTGATACGGTTGTGAGGTTAAGCAGGCTTGTGCAGGACGTGACGATTCCTTGGGTGAGCCCAGAAACAGAGCGCCATGTGTCGGCTCTGCATACATGGATGCCTCCTTGGATGGCGGGGAATGCCCAAGATCTGCCCCTGCCTTCCCTTGAGGGCTAACTGTTCCACAGGGGGCCGACCCAAAGGGGTACTCCGGGGGCAATACCTGCGGCAAAGGAGACGAAGTGGACACCACACAAATCAGGCAACGTCTCGACCCACACAAAACAATGGCCACAGTCACCGTAGAAATAGGCCTGACGTCTTCCTTCGAAGTCGGCGTACAGCTGCCCATGAGGCAGGGAAATAAAAAACAGTTGTAAACGCAAAAATCAGGTCCAGGTGAAAGCCAAAAGTCCAAGCGGACGATTACCTGTCCTTCCACTGGAATTCACAGCCGGTGTTCGATGAAAAAAAAAAAAGAAAAAAACCTTATTTAGACTCGCAGACTTCCCTTTAAGGCGATTAATCTTCCTATTCGCACTTACTGCCTTCGCACTTTTTCCCATGCCTCTAGTGTGGTTTTTTAATCATTCATGTAAAGTAATATTTGGCAGTTCGTATTTTATTTACTATTTTTCTTCTTCAGACTTTGGGATTGGGCATGCACATTTCTGTTTAATTTCATACTTGTCTTATTCTGTTCTTATATTCATATGTTTATTATATGCATGTTTTAATAATATTCTTGTCGTAACCCTTTCCTCCTGTAACTCTTTGTATAATGGTGTGACCATGCCAGAAGCCTTGAATCTTTGATTTTAGAAAGTTTTGTTGATGGCTTTGTATTTAGTACAGTAACCCACTTGTCACTTATCTCATTTTTCTGTGGTTTGTAAATAAAGGAGCCACATGTAAAAGAAGAACATTTTTCGCTTCAAGTAGGCTGACAGTTTTTTTGCTCATTTCCTCAGGATTCCCCTGATCGATTCAACTCATCTGTCTGGGGTCCCACCTGTGACGGCCTGGACTGCATTATGCCGGAGTGCAAGCTGCCAGAGATGGATGTTGGGCAGTGGATGTATTTTGCTGATATGGGAGCTTATACTGTTGCTGCTGGTTCCACCTTCAATGGGATGCCCCGACCGCAATTCTTCTATGTCTGCAATGAGGATCTTTGGTGAGTTGATGAAATCAATCAAGTGCCCTGCAGGTAGGCGTTCATGCATCTCCAGAGATCTCGGTCCTATCCTCTTGATTAGTTCCACTGATTAGATATCCTTTCATGCCACCGTCGTAGTCTGTCATCTCTGCGTCTGCCTCTCCTTCTACTGTTGATCTTCCTAATGGTCACAATATTCTCCAAAACCTTACCCTCATCATGTGACATATGAACAGTACTTGCATTTTTCCTAAATGTTGTAATATTGGGCTCTCCTGTCAAATCCGGACGAAGAATAAACAGCCGTGGACGAGTTAGTCAGAGTTCTCTCCCTTGGCCTGCGGTTGCGTGTAGGGCTGCGTACGGTTTCGTGAGGCATTGTGAATGGTTGTGTAGTCATCATCATGCGGTTGTTGGGTTAGAGGTAGGGTTAGGGTTAGATGTGAAAATTTTGACGTAGGATTTCGAAATACTGGCCGACAATCAGATGTTTGTGGGAGTGGCGCCACTGAAACTCTGCCAAATATGACGCAAATAGCGTGCGGCTGGTGCCCCCAATCGTTGGCGAATTGTCCGTTTGATTAGCATCCAGAGGCCCTCGATTGTTTGTGTGTGTATGGGACTGTGCGCGATTATAGGGACCTCCGGCGTCAAAATTAAAATATAACGCTACCGCTAACCCTAATCCTAATTCTACTCCCTAGCTCTAACCCCTACCCCTAACCACGCAAATTTATCGATCATTAAAGCATACAAATCGGCAAAAACCAACAAACAAAACACACCCAAAAAAAACCAGATTTGTCCTGCAGCGTCGGAAAAAAACCCAGATCTGGGGGAAACAACCAAGCATTGGCAGCCCTGATGTCGACGTCACTGTCTTCTTTGTTTCGTTGTGGCTTTTCCGATCACTGTTTGGAGTGCGGCCACGGGAGAGAACTCTGTCGTCCAAGGCTTTTTAGTCTTCGTCCGGATTTGACAGGAGTACCTAATATTGATCTACTTTCGTTATACTCGTTATTCTAGCAGTCCAGGGGATTCTTCTTAACATTTGTCTTAAAAAAAAAAAACCTTTCCTCAGTTTTCTTTATTTTCAAGGACAGAAACATTTTTTGCACTTTTCCTCACTAGTGTCCAATAGGAATCAAAATCAAGTGTGTTTTAATAATTGCCAATTCCAAATAACCTTAATTATACAGGAATACTGACATTAAAAACCTGCTTCCAAAGATTTAGTTTTTAGGCTAATTACACTTATTAGTGTTAGGGGTAAGTGCAAGGATCTTCTCACCCTGGTCACACTATGATCTTGACTCATTAACAATTTTATACAGGTTTTAAAAAAATTGGGGAAAGTGTCCATATGTATTTCTCCTTAAAAAAATATAGATACGTTTTAAATGCAAAATTTTATTTTATTAATCTCTTTGTTGTGAAAAGCCCATCTGGTTTAAAAAAGGCTATTCTTTTAATCCCCCCCCCCCCCCCCCCCCCCCCCCCCCCCCCCCCCCCCCCCCCCCCCCCCCCCCCCCCCCTCCTTTAAATGCCACTCTTGAGATTTATTTATGCTGTCATTCTTTATTCTGCATTCATTCTATTTCTTCCGTGTAGTTGGTACCGGGGCATCTGTTATCCTTTCATATGAATTTACTAGATTTTCTTTAATTGTATCTTTCTTATTTTGATTGCTTTTCTAGGACATCTCATTATCTGTTATGGTTGTGCAGGAACATAATAGACCAGTATATCTGATTATGTGCTAAAATTACATTGGGACAGAAAATGTAGTAATTTTAGCAGACCTTTGGCAGTCTCAGGGATATGGTACAAGATCATGTGTTAGGAGCTGGTGACAACCTGAGCAGGGTCATTTCTTGGCTAAAGATCCAGTTTAATATTTTATGTGGCCAAAAGAATAGCCACTGTTTACCTTCAGTTTTTTTTTTTTTAAAGAAAATAAAGAAATTGTGTCTATTTGATGCTTTTAATCATACTTTTGTGTCATTTGTTTCATATTGGACAACCATCTTCTTCTTGTCCTTACTTAGTCGCTCCTCTTCTGCTTTAAGGTGTAGAGAAATTGCCAGACGTATCTGTCAGCAGTTTTCTTCCTGGCTTTGTTCCATTCCAGTCCTCTGTCAGGGACTGTTGGATGTTGTCTTCCCTGGAGGTTGGTCTGGTTCCCTGGTTCTTAGCCTGCAATGCATGCCATGGTGGCTGATTTTCTCCCATTCTGCATACATGTCCAAACCATTATAACTGTGACTGATCCAGTTGGGTTTGTAAGGACTGGGTATCAAAGATCTTGACGTATTGTCTGATAATTCTTCTTCTGGTGATCCTCTTATGGACAGTGGTCTTGGTCCATAACTTGAGTTAGTGCACATCCTGTTTACATATATCATTTGTATGCAGACTTGGTTCCTTTAGAGGAAATACACCTCAATAGGTAAATGTTTGCAACACGCTTGTTAGGGGGCCGGGGGTCAACGGAACTCTTACACAGAGAATACAGCCTGACATAGGTTCAATCCTGTGTCGGCTTAAGGGTCACATTTTTAGGACTCCTGCTCCTTTACGATCATGTTGTAAGGGGTAAAAAATTAAAGATTTGCTGCAATCAGATGTGTTTTGCTGAAAGGTGCAGATGTCACAGCTTAGCTTTAAACAAAGCATGCCAACCAACCTTTTAGGAATAATGCAAGATGATTACACTGAGTAGTGGCAGGTAGTGTAATTAAAAGTTCTTTCCATGTGCTATTTGGTCACAAGCACAAATATGCTGTATGGCAATTATTTGTTGTCTGGTAATTTAATGCATACTTTGATTGTTAATTCTCTTGTGCTTTCCAAACAGGAACCAAGTGTACCCAGAACACACTGCGCCAAAGAGGAGATGCGAAAGTATGTCTGCGGATGCGGATTTCCCTCATTTCATGACCGGACCTGACATGAAGTCTCTCAGGGAAGCGGCCAATTCAATCTCTTGCTGCACTGAAGATGAAATTGTTTTTGCATGAGTGTCATTTCGATGACTTTTAAACTAATTTCCTTCTGGACTTTTAAATTCATCCCATGTGCCCCTCCTTGTAATTTCCTTAATTTTTGGTTGTAGTCTTCATGAAAAGGCAACCTATACTTATGGTTAAAGCCCTTTTTATTCTGGTATGTGGTCAAGCATTACTGGATGAAGATTTGATGGGAAACTAAACATACTGTTTGGTATGTAGTAAACAGTAGAATATTCACGTCTGAAATTGTTCGTTCATGACATAGGACAATCATTTCCTTTAAGATTGTACCAGTTTTAATTTATCTTTTACTGATTTTTTGTGTGTAGTTACATACCTGCTTGCCTTAAACAAATTGGACTTCCTTTTAATGTCCTCGGCTCGAAAAACTGGTGCCAGCTATTTGTTTTAAACAGAATTTTATGAACCATCTAAATCTTCAGGGAGGTTTACACGCTGATCTCAAACTTGTGGTGCTTTGTTACAGTGACAACTTTTAAGGGCTATAAGTATTAGATGGAAAAGGTGTTTAATGGGAGGCTGTTAGTTTTTAAACTTTTGCTGTTGTTTGTCCAGTTTTGATGTCTTGAAATTCAGACCTTCTGTGTTTAGTGTCTCAGAATTCTGATTAACCCAATGTTTGTGTTGTATCTGTGAAAAATACTGGTTGGCAAAACTTGATCTTGCCCAAGAGAACATCTTTATGTGAATTTAAGTAGCCCTCACAAGTCCATGAAAGAAATATGTCACCAGCAATCAAAATCAGGAAAATGCACAATCAAAATTTGATCCCTCCCCACTCAAAAAATAATAAAAAAATTGCATTTTTCAATGTTAAACATTTTTGTCTGAGGGGGAAAAAATTTTATTCCACATTTTTTTTTTAAGAGTCAGCCTGTAGCAAGTTGTAGGCAGGTTTGTTGTCTGCACCTGCCTGTACACCTCGGTGGGACCATATCGGATCATAAAGTGATTTTGACCTATCTGTTCACGTTTCCCTTTTATCGAATTTCAGCGCAAATTTCAAGTGTTCATTACATATTTTGGGGTAATTTTCCATGTTATACAATTAGATTGTTCAGAACATTTAAAGATATTGGCACAATTTTAAACAGCTTGTTTAATTCACATTGTGTATTTAATCATTTTAATGTGGTAGTTTTGGAACGTTATTTGCCTGTTTTTAGAGTTTTTCTCTCAGTATTAGTTTGTTGCTGGTGATTTGGGACTCACCCAATATTTTTTTGATCTTCGACGATTTAAAAAAAAAAAATCAGCAGTGGATTGTTTTAACGCTGGATGATCCCAGGCAAGCTGTGTATTTGTGATGGTGGGATTTTAGTTTTTATGTCACCGCAGAGAACAAGCTTGAGTTGTACAAGTAATGGGAAACGCGTGCATGTATAGTGTATTGATGGCCAGCGTATTGTGCATTGTTCTTCCATGTATTTACGTATTGTCAGAATAAAGTTTTTGGGCATTTGTAATTCCTCTTTTCCTTTTCTATTGAAGTCTAAATGGTGATGCAGGGTGTATGTATGACTGTCAGGGTATCAAACTATTTGATAGGTGGTTGTAACAATTCAGTTCATTATGCATGGTCTTATTAAAAACCTTGACGGCAATGGTTCACTGGCCATGGCTTGTTTGTTGGCTCAAAGGGTTGATTCATGACAGTGACCTGGCTGCCAGTATTGTCCTGGGTAGTGGTCATTGTTCTGTGTCTAGCAGCATTAGCTTCCCCAAAGAGCTGCTGGTATACAGAGGGTTATTTTACTGTTCACTAAAAGTAGTGGCTAAGCAGGTTTGGTCAGGTAAAGGACGCTACCAGAGCCAGATTTGGTCACCCAAACGGAGAAGAAAATAAGTATCCATGGATGTCAGAAAGGCTGCAGAAGAAATAAAGCAGGGATGTCAGAAAACAGGTCTGCACAAAACCAGTTATAAATTACATACAAAGAGGCGGGAAATCAAAAAGGGTGTCATATGAGGACAAGTCTGCACAAAACAAATTCTTAATTATATACAGACAGGAAAAACCAGATGGAAAGATGAGCTCTGTAGCTCTGCTTTTCAGAGATCATTTTCCCTCCCCCAAGCTGACACTTCACTGAGGTACAAAGTGGAAAAGAAGAATAAAAATAATTTCTACCAAAATCTCATGTACAGGTTACTGACTTCACAATAACAATTTTGAATCCCTGTTTGCTCAGAAACAAAATATTTTGGTCTTCACCGTCTGTTGGACAGAATTAGCTATTTTCGCATAGGACACACAATAGAGATGATAAAAAGCAGTTATCACAGCCTAGCTGTAGACCACAATATAGTCTTACTACAAAGCACTGACCATATCCATGACTGGTAATAGGAGATTATTAAACACTCTACCTTTTTGTGATAGCACATGATGATGATGAGTGAAATGGTTTTTTTATACATATACATTGGACCAAATTTAGAACCATGATCATATCTGTATTCTGTTCCTGTCATTATTTTCCTAAATCAGTGCTTAGGCCCAGTGAGACAATGTTACTGATTTGGGGATTTCATTCAAAACTAGAGAGGCTAGACACCAACAGCCTGCACACAAAAACCAAATATTAAAACTGTTTACACAAAACTCAAGTTCTGGAAAAAGACTGAAGTACAAAAGTGGACGAACAACCACAACTTTCCTCAGGAGTTTGCAGCAAGTGAACGCTAAGATTCCATCATTGTCACATAAGGGATCATTGCCGCCGACCTGTTGCGTTTCTGTTAATGGTATCACATGTCAAGTTTATACTCCCCCACCCCCCTTTTCCACTCTTTTTCTGCTCAATCTCCCAAAAATACAAAGAATGGAAATCAAAACAGAAATTAAGTATACTACTTTTATTGCACAACATTCAGTATTCTGCGCTATCACACATCTTATTATGACTTAATAAGTTTGTCAACAAAATACACATTAAATCATCATTGTTCTAACCAGTTTATGTTAACCCTTTCAGTGTGGTACAACTCCTCTAAAACTAATTACCTCTTGTATTTATTACTACTTTGTCTTTGAGCCTGAGGATGTATGGCCACATGGTGCAATCACTACAGACTGCATGTAAGGCTTTTTTTTTGGGGGGGCCTCCGACTGCAAAAGAAAACCATAACTTTATCCAGGATCTCAGTGTAACACATCACACACTCATTAGTTAGTGTTCTTGTCTTTTGTCACAGATAGTTGTTACATTAACTCATTCTTAGGAATGGTTACTTTGTCCCTGATCATATTAACTTGCTTAGACCTCTGACATTCAGTACTTAAACAGAACATCTTATGACAGAAGACACTTTTTCGTGCGTTTTGGACTTTAGGCCCGACTTATATTTTATAGACCAAGCGGCACTTTGTTGGTGATGTGGTCAGCATCACACCAGTCGCCTTTACTTCCCAGGACTTTACCTGGTACTTAGTCAAGGATGGGAGCCAAGGTCATTTCTGAAAAGTTAGGCTTCGTTAGAATCCGAACTCTTGAACTTCCGATCAGCAAGCTAGAGACTAGCTGCCACACCATGGGGCTCCCCGTGATATAGGGAGTTAGAGTAATTTTATGTTGGTACGAAGAAAGTTTAATTATAATCTACAATTGAATTTATCAATCGTGGGAGGGGAAAGATTTACAGAACAGCAGTTCGTCGTTCCATCACGTTCTTATGAAGACGTTTGTTAAGGGAGATTGTATGGAAATTAGTTCTCAAGTGCAGCGATGCATTGTGATTATTTTGACAACCTATCCCGCATAAAATGAAAAATCCGCAATTCGTAGGAGACTAATGCTGGAAATGACCACTTGAGAGTGAAACGCCTATCTTCTTTTTTTTTGCGATCACGGGCTGTAAACTCCGGCTGAAAGTTCTTGTTTCGTTTATTTCTATTTTCTAGCCCTGTTCCATAAACTTCCGTTTCACCAGTCTGACTCTTTGCCTGCAGCCTGTTGGTTCCTTGCTTCTCGGGCAGATGCACTCCAACTTCGAAAGAAACTCCCAATTAGTTGACTTTTACAACATTCTTTTGGACTGGCAGTGGGTCTGTTCTTGTTTACACCACAATGGGGCCCCGTAACCCACACTGGGACAATTATATCTAATATGTATACTATGTACAGCCCACTGCCAAAGGTGGAGAGAGCTGATCAAACAGTCAACAGAAACTGGTGACCCAACGACACGTATTGTTACGGGATGATGAAATAGTCTATGTCTCAGTCAACGTCCACCTCTGCATGCAAATGAGTCAGACCTTTGAAACGCAACACTGCCTTTCTGGAACAGGGCTAGAGTCCAAAAGTGGACGAACAATCAGAATTTTCCGCCGAATTTACAGCCGGTGAACGCGAAGAAAAAGAAGATATATTACTGCATGGCTTCACCCGAATGCAAATTGTATGCCTCCCTTCTTCATTTTTCATCTTAGTTTTCACCGCTGCCTTAAGTTTAGTCATTGCTACCTAGTGCCTCTGAGGCTCTTACCGTTTCACCACCCTATAAATTTGAACGTTGAAGTTACCACCCAATCAACTGCGGTAGCGCCCACTATATGCAGACTGCTCTAGGAAGTTCTAATTCATATGCGACATATCCAGTTTCGTCCTTTATAGGGCGAAATTTTTTTGTTATTTGAAACCCCACCCGAGCTTTTGCCAGGGGCCGCAATATAGGCAGGCCATAAAATGGCCAATTGTCTGAACGCGGTTTCTGGGACCTCTCCACGGCGATCCTTATCCACATGTTGGCTTTTTGTGTCATCGGGTGTTTATCACTTGTGTGATGTCCTGGTGGGGTAGAAAGTCAATCAGTCAGTTCTAATTCCCCCACCCCGAGGCCGTCCCGCAAGGTTACAGTTCGACAATTAGCACTGTTGCCCCCCAAACAATGGCTCCCTCTACCGTTTAATTTAAATATCTGGACCATACGTCGTCGAAAGTGCCGAGCACAGTGACACTGAAAAACTACCGTCCCAGCTTGTT